TTGTTGTCCTGCTGCCTGCGCTGCTGGTGAGGACACATCTAACACCAGGTGAGGACACATCCAACACCAGGTGAGGACACATCTAACACCAGGTGAGGACATATCCAACACCAGGTGAGGACACATCCAACACCAGGTGAGGACACATCTAACACCAGGTGAGGACACATCCAACACCAGGTGAGGACACATCTAACACCAGGTGAGGACATATCCAACACCAGGTGAGGACACATCCAACACCAGGTGAGGACACATCTAACACCAGGTGAGGACACATCTAACACCAGGTGAGGACACATCTAACACCAGGTGAGGACACATCTAACACCAGGTGAGGACACATCTAACACCAGGTGAGGACACATCCAACACCAGGTGAGGACACAGCCTGGACTCTTCATCCTTCAGGCTGAAGCAGAACTTTAGCTGCTCTCACATTATTTTCTCTTTCACTCACAGAAGTGAAGAAATGATTAATGATTAAAAGCTGACAGATTCATCAAACGAAGCAGGATAAGAAGGTTTCTGCTCTCTGCAGGGCTTCGGTTCAGAGACAGAGTTTAACTGGTCTGCAGCTCAGATTAGGAACATTTCATCTGATCTGAACCAGAACCAGAACCAAACCACATAAAGACTGTTGAATGTTGTAAACCTCATTCTGCTAATGCTAATGCTAATGCTAATGCTAATGCCAATGGCTTTTAGATACTGGCAAGTGTTTCATTAGTTCTGGTTAATGTTTTGCTACTATTAGCTTTTAGCTACTGTTCTGCTCATTTAGCTTCTGTAAAGTTTAGTTCTAGTGTTTCACTCTGAGTTCAAACAGGAAACAACATGTCTCTATTTTTATTAGGCTCTGCTTCATTTCATATAAACACTCTTAAAAGCTTTAAACACTTTAAAGATCAAACTTTATGTTTATACACAAAGTTAAACCCTGACCCTTAAATATACAGATTATATTTTATTTATTGTTTATTAATAACAAATATAACAGTTTAATTCACTGAACTGAGAGGTTGAACCATCTGCAGAACATTCTGTCTCAGCTGTGGTCAGGGTCAGTCTGTGGTGGAGTTAATCTGGGATTAAACTCAGGTTAGGGTCAGTCTGTGGTGGAGTTAATCTGGGATTAA